TACAGTATTATATATTATTAATAATCCTAAGTTGGAAAGATCTGCTGTTCATTAGGGGTCTATAGAGTCTTTAAATATATAATAAATAATATTAGGCAAATATATACGGCGATTAAAGAGTACAAAGTACAAACGATAGGAAAATATTTACGATGATATCAAAATCGATATTTCCATCGGACGTCGTTCTGGGTCATTGAGATGGATAAGAATACTTTATTTTAAGTCCTCACTTAAAACCATGACAACATACTACAAACGTATGAAGCTTAAACCTAACCCAATGAACATGAAGACTCAGGTATGTGCGTTCCATCTGAAAAACAAACTAGCATCTAGAAAACTGGACATCATCTAGACATCAACCTAGATAGATTACTCAATTTTAAAGAACACTGGGTTGCCTTAAAAAGTTTACTGGAAAATTCCAAAAGTACTTATTCTTACACTGCAGTTGTACAGTTGTACTTTGTACTTATTTTAGTGTGTAATACTGTAATGTATAGGTAGATATAAAATATATTTGTTATCTACCATAATATCTATCATAAGCCATATAACTTTTGATCCTATATTAATTTGTACATTAGAAGAAATTCCCTATTCCGAACATGAGTCACAGTCATGATATAGTTAATGAGACTGTTGCCAGTCTTTTGAATGACATCGTATAATATCGTATAGTATCGTAGCGTATATCGTTTAAACGTTTGTTTTTAAATTTTATATTTTTTTCGCAGTTTATAAGCAAGTTAAATTAAAAAATGGAGTTGGGAGTTAATTATTCTAACAGAAAATACCCTCAGGTTGCACATAAGGGTATTTTTGTACAATTTCCACAAAGAATGTTCTATTTCTTCGTTGAAGGTGTTCAAAAAACAGCTCTATGAAGTGTCCATGTTTTTTAAAAACTGATTTAAACATAACTGAGCCAACTTTGATCTCTGTAAATAACGATCATGTGCACGAATCAAATGAAAATCTTATTTCTGCGACTAAAATAAAAAATCTTATGGCGGAAAAAGCTAAGCTAACTAACGATTTACCTGCTCAATTTTCGCGGAAGTGGTATCAAACTTACCCCGAAGTATACTCGCTGAATTACCAAAAGAAGAATATCTAAAAAGAACAATTAGAAATCACAGAGCATGTAATGATCCACCTAAACTTCCTTGTGGAAACGAAATAATTATTGAAGATAAATAATATTGTAAATTTTTAATTTATTTTATTTAAATTAAGTACCTACGTTTAATAAATTATTATACTAAAATTATACTAACGTAGCTTAACGCCTTAACCTAGGTTACTCCCCCAGTTGATTATTTAATTAAATTTAATATTTTTTACATAATTTTAAGTCATTCAAAAATACATTTTATTTTTTACGCATATTTTTTTAATTTACTAGGAGAGTATCGGGCATATGGAAATGAAAGATTTTTGCTGTATGACAATGGCCCAAATTCTGATGATAGAATTTTAATGTTCGCCGCTGATAACTATTTGTCGTTATTGGAAAAATCTGTTACCGGTTTGTTTGTGACGGAAATTTTAGCCTCGCCCCGGAATTTTTCAAGCAATTATACGTCATTCGTGTACAAATAAATTCCGTATTTGTGACATCAGTATATTGCATTCTGCAGAAAATAAGTCAATCAACATATGAAAAAATATTTAGTATTTTATTAAAAGAATGTCGAGATCGTGACTTGTACCCAGATCCGACATTTTTACATTTAAATTTTGAATTAGCAAGTCATAAATGCTGCAAAAAATATATTTGGAACTCATATTACGATTAACGGATGTTTTTATCATTTGTGTCAATCGACACATAGAAAAATTCAGAAACTTAGTTTGTCTGGGATTTATAAAGAAGATAATAATTTTCGAAAATATTGCGGCATGATTGATGGATTAGCTTTCCTACCACAGGATAAAGTACTGGACGGGATGATATGTCTAAAAGAAATAATGCCTCCAGATGCAGAAGACCTTTTACCTTATTTTGATCCTTATTATGTAAATGGTATAATCGATTTTCAAAACTCTGTACATAAGCACCCAGCTCTTAGGGAATAATAGGAAAATAAAAATGGAAATTTCCGAAGATGAAGCTAAATAAGCTTTAGATGCTGTAGGAGATTCAAAAACTGTTAAAAAACTAGGGCAAACTCAGACAGTAGAAAAACGTCTACAAAATGTATGTATACAAATACAAGCGGACAATATCGGTGTTTTAGATTTTTAACAGCCGTAAGCCATAATATAAGGAGAGGTTGTACCGAATTTTAATATTACATTTTTATACAGCATTATTATTATAATTATATAGGTACTTTAATTGTATTTATTATTGACTATTTGTTATTATATAATTGATACTATTTGTACTACATTTTCTTATGTAACATTTTACCATATTTATGCTTACATTTTGATATATTTTCATTCATTTCACTTTGTATTAAATTAAATTCTATTTTAATATGTTATTTAAGTAAGTCATTAAATTTTTTATGATATTTTATGACTTTTTATGTATTTGTATATTTATCGGGAATTTTAACGAGACTTTTTTTTTCCGAGATTCGTGTTTTCCAAGGTGATGGCTGTAATCGATTTTATCTCGTTATGTTTGATTTATGGATATATTTATCGATGTAATTTAGATACGTATATAGTAGATTATTTTATGTTGAAACGACAATAAACACAAAAATATGCTCTTGCTCTGGAAGTTATCTACCTACTCAGAATTATAGTTTAGTTTTCGTTGTAACCGATTTTACCGATTGTCACTTACAAAATGCCGAAAATTATTAATTGTAGTGCTCGATTTCGCAATTTTCGTAAAAGAAATTGTTGAAGACATTTTTTCTCGTGATAATGCTGTACTTTTTTGCAAAGTATGTGGTGTTAAAGTTTCTCTTTTTTTTGTACCAAATATTTTTTTAAAAACCTATTTTTATTGCTTTTTTAGGTTAGGTGGTAATGATGATGGTGATCGTATATTTCTTGTAAAACAAAAGAACCTATTTTCCAACCTATTATTATGTGTACAAAATATAAAAGTTCGGTTTGGGCGGGAAATGTCTCAGTCCAGTACTACTAAAATCAGCCTTTTGGAGGGGGGCAGGGGGGGAACGTCCAAATACTGTTTATTAAGAAGAAGGTATACTTATAATTCTTATTTTAAGGTCTATGATACAATATTAGTATGCAACACCATGATGCGGGTGAGACTCGACAGCTGTGGTCGATTGTAAAAAGTTACGAATAGTAAAACATTTTGAGGTACCTACTGTGTTGCGTAGGTAGCCTGCAGGTAGGTAGGTACTTTGAAGTTTTAAATTTTTTTTTTCATAATAATAATAATAATAATAATAATAATAATGAAATTTATCTTTGTCTTATAATATTTGTTATAGTTATGTTGAAATAATAAAAAATAAAAGAAACACAGGTTTTCTTGTTGTTTTTTCCGAAATGAAAAAATACACAAATTCTCGTGGTAGTTATTAATACTTATTATTATCATTTAAATGACATCATAAACATACGTCTCTATTATGAGCAGTTGTACATTACTAGTTACTACATATTTTGTTATTGCACATTTCGTATTTACTACTGCTCACAATACATACCTAATACTATTGATTAGGTATAAAATATATTAGCGAGATATGAGCATTTTTAATTTGTAATATTTCACATTTTTACATACCCATGTCTTGTTTGAAAAATGGCCGACGCTTCAGCTCAGACGTCTTCACCTAAATGTTCGATAATACTTTAATTTACTACAATATCAAAACTAACAGCACGCTATTGAAACTAGTGAATGAAAATTTGCCATGTCATACGTGTGTAAGAGTAAGACGGAGATAACAAATGCATGTCCTCAACAGTATTATTACTATATTATTATACGTAGGTAGGTACATAATAATAATATGATACCTAAAGTTCGTGAATTTAGGTGATAAAATCAAAATTATATTTTAGTGTTTAAAAAGGTGTTTTATTTTCGTTTCAGCATCATTATACAAGAGGCCCGAACTGTTTGACTTTTTAAAAAAACGTCTGTGATTAAAATTAATTTTAAAATTATTTCATTTTTTTTTTTAAATTCATTTCTAGTTTATTACTAAATTATGAATTCATATTTTAAGTATATGCTTACTGGTTAGGTTCTACTATGACTGAAATTACTTCCATTGGTTTTTTCTACAGAGAAGAGAAAGCACTTTTAAATATACGTCTACCTAATAGTTATAGATACCCTAATTTATTATGGCACCGAGAGATTATACTATGAATATTTTATTCAATTTGATCGTTGTAATGATACGGTTGTGATACAACCAGTCTAAAGTACAACGGATATAGACAGATACATGCCTTATAGGTACTTCTGGTCAGAGTAACATAATATTATTTCACTCTGTATAAAAGTATATGGTACTTATAATTATTATTGTTAATAAAATGTCATCAATAAATTGTTGTTGGTCCACGAGTCATGACCATGAAATCACTCAATAACAGGTTATGACCTATTGTAATTATGATAGATTGGTAGACAGGTATGGACGTATGGTAGGCACAGGAAAGTATTGGTTATCGTGAGATGAAAAGGATAAATACAGCTCTTCACGGGTAAATACTATGTTGGTACATATATGATGTAATAACATGTATAATACTTACACATTACGAACTCTTGAATGTCAATAAATATAACCATTAATTATAAACGGATACTATGGGATATTTATAATCAATGACATAACTAAGTAATTTTAGTTTTCAGGCATTGTAATAATATGTAATTAGCACTTTTGGATTGAATTTAGGATTCTTATAAATAAATATTCGACAAAAAAATGTATTTATATAAAAAATTAATTTATTAAATAGCAAATAAATTAAATTATTATTTATAGACATTAATATAATACATGGCACAAAATTATATAAATAAAAAAATGTTATTCTGAAGATTCTTCTTCGTCGTCATCAGAATCTAAACTACTCTCCGAGCTTGAAATCTGCAATTTTTCCAATTTAGACTCAATAGTATTGCTGTTATCATTGTTGGCAAGTTCCGTTTTAATTAGCTCTAGGTCTTCCTCAACACTCATTGCAGCTACTTCCAATTCTTCTAAATCCAATTGTAAAAGTCCTTTATTGATTTTATTTTCCTCAAAAAGTTTAACAATGGTATCAAAATATGTACTGTTCAATTGCTGAATCCATATACAATAGTCTTTTATGTACAGTTCGTTCAATACATATCTGGGTTCGCTAGAATTAAATAACTTGTGTATATCCAACAAACACGTGAGTAGACAAACACATCCATTTTCAAATACTTTACGTACATCAGAGAGCACTAAAGTGCCTAAATCCCAATGTCGGTACAGAGGATAACACAAACTTCGTCTGACGCACGATTGAACGGTTTCATCAAAAGTTTCAAAACTACGAAACCAAGAAAGTGTAGAAGAAAGTTTGTTGATCATCCAAGGTGATTCAGAATTTTCTTCACCCAAGTTTGTTCGAATACAATAACAATACGCATACATGATGTCTACCAACGAGAGTAAGGCTGATTTTTTATCATCTTTGCTCAATAAGTATTCTTTATTACCGAATGTTTTTAAAACATCTGTATGAGAATCATTTAAGGTAAATGATGTATGGTACCAAAATGGTTTAAAGTTTAATATATCTTTAAGTTCATCCGGTTCCGTCATCAAATCCGCCAAGTAATGGTCGTCAGAAAATTCTGAAATTTCTGAAGCAATTTGTAACGATTTTCTTTTTCCAAGATTTAAATTATCAGGATCTTTAATTTCAATAATTTCGAAAAATTCACCAGAAAAATTATTAAATCCGTTTTGAGTTTGATTGGCAAATCCATATTTCATACAACTAGTATTGTCGTCTGATACAGGATTTTGTAAAAAGTCACAATCTATAACGCTGTCATCATTATCATCATCATGATAATTTTCATTGAGAACTTCAATAGAAGGATTGATTGTCCGAGAATCTTTTTTTGGTGCTAAGAACTTTATTTATGAGATTTAAATCTGGGAAATGTTCTCCTGGATTTACTTTATTTAATGTAAAAGTAAAAACATATGATTCCCAATCATAAGACCCTGATGAAGAATCAGTTTCTTCCACTTCACCAGGTAGATTAAGACGTAGGTAATATGGGGAGGAATGAAATGTGACTTGAGTACCATTAACATCAACCTCTGTTTCGTTGACATTAGCAAATCTAGCTTTGATCTTTATGATTAGATAATCATCGGTTTGATCCAATTCAAAATTTGGAGTTAACATTGTACAAACTGAAAAGTAAACAATAATTAATTTTAAATTAATATTATATTAGTATTTAATGTTACATTTATATTCAGGATACATTGAGATAAGTTTACTTAGAAGCTACAAATAAATTGGTTTATATTTTTGGATCATAATATTAATCAAATTAGGTAATTATTATATGTAAATATAAATGTATTGATTTAAGATGTTGCATGGATTCAATATGTGACTAAATAATTTTTTAACTATTCTTTGATATTTAATTTTAATATGAGTTAAACAAAATAATATTATTACTGTATCTAATAGGTTTAGAACAAATATATTTTTGCAAGATCATGTTATGTAGTTCAATATACAATTAATTGCTAAGATATATCTAAATATCTAATTGTTTCAAACAGAAATTTGAAGAAAAAAAAAAAAACTGTAATTAAATTATTGACTAATATTTTAGATTCAAAACACAATAATAATCCAAAGTCCGCTCAGAATTATTGTTCTAATACATTGATTTACCATATCTATTGCTTTAATGACACACCTAAATCTATGTAGCATTTTGTTGGCACATTATTTAATTAATTTAAAAACAGATATAAGACAAGGTTACAAATTAAAAATAAACAATGAATCATTTAAAATTTAATTTATGGTAATGAATTAAATAATTAAATTGTAATAAAATATTCACTTTTTTTTATAGTCATTCACTAGGTAGGTACAATAATAGGTTACCTTTTCCCAAAGTAACCATGACAACAACTTTAACCAAAACATAAATTTAATTACCTTCTGTGATAATAAATTAGATAATTAGAATTAATATTATTCATGTTTTGTAATATTCAAACTTCATCAACAGGTAGGTAATACCTACTAAATATTGTTGAGAATACTTGACGAATTGTTGTACATAACCAGTAATTTGGATAATTTTATGCCTGACAAATAATTTTACATTTTAGTGTAAGTATCATAATTCATAAGAATTCTATATACATTCTTTAAAAATAATTTATGTAATTTAAGAACTGTACCTATTATTTAGTTTTTTATCTCATGCATTTTTATTGAGTAACTGAACATTTTAAGTTTTTAAGTAACATAATTAATCAGTAGCTATGACTTGAGCTTTTTAAATAACTATTTAATGTTAGAGTAATTTAATATAAATAAATTCTATAGATGAACAAAGACAATATATATTATATTATGTATCAATTTTATTGGCAATTTATATTAGCTATTTTATTGATTGGAAGATGGCCATAAAGATAGTTTTTTTAAATTAAAAAATAATTTGGGTCAAATTTGTATACAGACATTGCCCAGCAATGTCGTCATTGGTGGACAATATTTTTTTCTTTTAATATTGGATAATTTTACAATATATACTTCTAAATGTAAAAATGTTATCTTATATTCATCATATTATTTAAATGTTAAGCTGTAAGGAAAATATTTTAAGTATAGTAATAAATAAAATTGACAATTGTAATATTTTAAAAGAACTTAAAATGGGATTTCCTGTTATTCATTTTTCATTATTTTTAGCCAGGTTTCCGTATTCCATGTAAACCATGTGGTTTACACAATATATCAAATATTCAACTACTCTGTCGTGGGTTACCTAAGTTAATTAAATGTGGTTAGGCATTACTTATTAATGACTAGTAAAATTGTTTCACCCAATCAATATTATTTAATTTGGTGAATAACATCAAAATTCTGAACAACGTCTTAAGAGAGTAAAATATTTTTTGAATGAGAATTTTGAAATATTAACAAATAACAATTTATAGTACATTTTTGAAATTCAAAGAGAGAAAAACATTTTCACGATACAACTATTTTTATTATAAATTCAACACATTATATCTTGAAATTCATATTTAATGTCCAATAATTTATGAGATTTTGTTTACAAAATTAAGAAGTGTATTGTGTGCCACATTATGTATTTTCCTCAGTAACGACTAAAAGTTGGAAGTATAGTTAAGTTTTCTCTATTGTTGAATAATAAAATAAAATATATACTATACATTTGACTATAACACTTTTGTGTTAATTATGTATGCTGGAAAAAAGTCAAATTCTTTTAAGTTATTCATACATTTTTTTATGTATTATATTTAATGAATCTTACCAATCTATAGACAATGCAATGACACTATATAATTTATAAGTAATTAAAAATTTAAATTGCAGTAGCTATGTTCTATTAAACAATTAGTATTCTCTATTGTTGTAAACAAAAGTTTCACAACATGACCATATAAATAATTCAAATTTTAGAAGCTATAAACATATTACTAAACTATGTATTTGTATTTTTAAATTGTACACTCGTTTATCAATACATAATATTGGTTTAATACAATTTGTATTAACTTAGTTGGTGTACACTTACCTACAATGTAATCTAATCTGTTAAAATACTTACAACTGTTATTATTTGATTGAACGAAACTTGTACTCAATAAATAAAATGCAATTTGGTGTAAATTTGGAATAATACTTAATAATATATTGTATTTATTGCAAGCATGTATTTAACCTTACAGCTTTAACTCGTAAACTACAAAATTTCAAATTTCCCAACCACCATCAGCACATAGGATCGTAGGAAATGGAACCTATCATTTTAATATTATCAGCGTGTTTTTGTCTAATCTTTAATCACATGTTTTTGTTATCAATATGTTTGGATTGATTGAGTTTCCAAAGCGAATACGAATCATACGTTCATATGCAATTCTTGTCTCTTGATTCAACTTGCTATAATGCAGAAATTAACTTTTACCGGCGAATTAAATTTAAATAGAACTGAATTGTAATGCAAATGAAATTTTAGTGTAACAACAACACTTTTAAACTGTGAAATCATTTATTTTTGAATAATCGACATATTATCATGGGTATTTGTGTATTTTGTGTTCTCACTAAGAAATTATTTTCCAAAGACGTTGTAACCATTTTTGTAGGCGTGTTGATGTTTTTTTTTTTATCAATAGAGCAAAATATTCTCAGCTATGCAAAATTTGTATTCAGATCTCAGATATTTCTATAACAAATTTGGTTTCGGTCTAAAATTTCATTCAAAAAGTTACCCATTCTGAAGATTTAGTTTCACAAAGTCTTCGAGCAGTACAATTCGTCTCGATGATCCCAAGAATGGAGGTCAACAAAGGGCCATTTTATGTGAGTGTCCAACATTTTTCTCAGACCCCCAAAACAACATACTCAAGTAGTACTTTTCGACTACATATTTGTTTCGTTTCTTGTGAACTTGTAATATTAATTCAATATTTTGATTTAAAATAATACACCATATAGTCATTGTTTGATTTCCTTATGTTATTGTTACTACTGATTTCTTGTATACAATAACTCATTGACTTGACCCAATTTTAATGCGAATTAGTAAACTTGATTTATCATTTACGTATATGATGATGTATAATGCAACTATGGTTTTATTTGAAATGTTACGCTTTGATTATACACTTTATCTATTGGTGGTTCAAACAATTGAGTAAATTATAGCCGTACCTTCTAATAATTACCTACTTAGTTCATTGTTTTGAACGGAACTTTAATGTATAGTAAATAGGTTTTTTAATTAATTTACAATTTACAATATGCTATCTGATTGACTATGTATTAACCCTTAAAAGTTATGTGATTATTGAAAATGTTATTGGTGTAAATGTGTAGAGTATCTGAGTATGATAATAATTAGTAGAAATGAATGCAAAAGCTTTTTTCAATTAATATTTTCTTATTATAGCTAGAATTGTATTTCCTCATTAAATTAATTTGTATATTTCAGAGTAAATAACTATGTGATGAACTTATGTTTCACATTGTTACCTTGTGTCTGGTCATATGATGGGATGACGAAAAGGATTTGGTCAGACGACAGAATGGGTGCCGGGGTTTCTTCCAATGAATATCCAAATGTGGAGGTTCAAAATTATCCAGGAGTTATTATAAAGTAAGTATAATTTTTTTCCTTTTCATAGTATTTTTGTTCTTTGTTCTTACCTTAATTTTATATTTACCTATATCTTTAGGGAGAGACGTAAGATGCGTATGTCTGGTTTTGCTACTTTGCGAAAGAAGCTTATTAAGCGTCGTCGGTACTCCAAGGTGTGCAATCATGGTCGTATCATAAGAGAATTAATATCTGATTGGTCACCAGCTGAAGTTACTGCTTTACTTGAAGAATATGAAGCATTGGCTGCCCTTAAAGACTTGTCTGTACAAGCAGAACTAGCAAGACCTCCAGCTGCTACATTTAAACAAGATTTATCTACTCTATATGACCATAAGTATTGTACAGACGTCGATCTCATTTTTCGTGGTGTTTGTTTCCCAGTACATAGAGCAATACTGTCAGCTCGTTGTCCATATTTTCGTGAATTGCTTTTAGGGTGTCCTGGTTATGGGGCACGTATTTGTTTAGATTTGAGAACGCCTGGTGTGGATATAGACATGTTTTCAGCATTATTACGTTTTTTATACACTGGCGATATAGCTCCAAGAGATGGAGATATAGACTTAGCATTATTGAGGAGACTTGGTGATGAACTTGGTACACCAAATGTGTTAGAAAATGATTTAAGATACCTGTTGGAAACTGGTGACTATGCAGATGCTGCACTTGTGTTTATTCCAGAAGGATATTCAGATCGAAGGCCAGAATCTACTGGATCTGAATATGGTTTTCAGCCTAAACTGGAATTGCCTTGTCATAAATCTATTCTTAGTGCTAGGTCGCCATTTTTTAGGAATCTTATTCAACGAAGGACTAAATCTGGTGAAGAACATACTGAAAGAGCTTTACATATTCCTACAAGGTTTGATCGACATTTATCAACAATTATTTGCTTATAATATACTAATTATTTTTCAAATATTTTAGGATAGTACTAGATGAGTCAGTTATTCCAAAACGATATGCAAGAGTACTGTTACATGCAATTTATTTAGATACAGTTGATTTGTCTTTGATACTTAGAGGTTCTGGGTGTGGTTCTTCTGCTGGCAGTTTAAGTGAAGTAAGTATAATGCAATGTTATATATTATTATTATGTGCCAAAAATACTTAAGACTATATTTTGTCTTAGGTTGAAGCTCTAACTAATACAGGACGTGTTAGGCCAAGTCCTTTAGACGAAGCTATGGAATTGTATCAGATTGGTCGTTTCCTAGAATTAGAAATAGTGTCCCAGGGTTGTGAGGATCTTATCTTAGAATGGCTAACACTTGAGTCACTTCCAGGAGTGCTTAGGTAATTCTATTTAAATATTATGATGTTGATTTATAAATTTAATTATTTAATAATATTAAAAATTATTAACAGGTGGGGAAGTTTGCCGCACGGGTCAGCTTGGGTTCATCGCCAAGCAAAGCATTTTTTACGTGAAGAATTTTCTCAAGTTGCTAATAGTCCTGTTTTGTACCAACTCGACAAAGCTCATCTCATAGACTGTTTAAAGAGTAATTTCTTACAAACAAGTGAACTTGAAGTTTTACAAGCGGTTCTCAAATGGGGTGAACATGAATTGATTAGACGCATGGAAGACAGAGGTATTAAATTTCAAGTGTTCAACATTATAATTGTTATATAATTTATTTAATTGATTTTAGAACCAAATTTAGTAAGTCAAACAACACATTCTGTTAGCCGAAAAGGTGTAAAGAAACGAGATTTAAGTGATGTAGAACTTCGTGAAATATTATCTGAACTCTTACCTTTGGTGCGTATGGATCATGTTATCCCCACAGAACATGAGACTTTGACCCAAGCGATAAGAAGAGGTTTAGTGAGTTCACCACCCAGCCATATGATTGGTAATGATTCACCAATATTGTCTCATCATATGTCCAGAATCAATGCTTGGATTAGACATCCATCTGGGCTTTATGTGAGACCTAGGTTATTTATTCCATACTATGATGAAATTAAAGTAAGTTAATCATAGTAGTAAGATTTGCTTTTTTAATTGACAATTTTTGGTATTGCTCATTATTAACAATAAAGAAAGCTATTTGTATTTTGTACTAGACTGTCTAGACCAGATGCTGAACATTTATTATAAATAATAACAAAAAAGTAATTAGTTTATAAGTATTTAAACATTTGATGGGACCAAACTTAAAGTCAGGTTAAGGTGGCCAGATTTATTTTTAAGAAATTTTTTGACACCAAAATTGAATTGTTCTCATAAAAAATAAGTAATTTTGTATATATATTAATATTTATTTATTTATTATTCCGGTCAACCGGTAACGTGTCGGTTAATCTGGAACAAATGGTCCATCCTAGGTTAGAGCTAAGAATCATGGATATTTTTATACTTTTATTTGATTTATTTCTGTTTTTAAAATTCAAATTAAAATAAACCAGCTATAAACTATTGTTACCTGAAAACTAATTTGTTTGGTACCTGAAATGTTAATTATGTTACATCGAGCATTTGAGACTTTTTAAAATGTAAATGAATTCAAATGTTTTCGATGACTAGAAAATAATTTGATATTTATATTAATATGTTATACTCAATTTATTGTTTATTTTAACAAAATTTCCCATTTAAAATTGTTATGGATTTTTGTTTGGTTTAGTCATTATTTGAAGATCAAATGTTAAGAGAGGACGAGGAACTTGTACGCCGAACAAGATATATGCCTGATGGTATACCTGACACTTTGTATATGATAGATGAAAAGCCTACTCCATCATCATATGGTCTTTCATCTCTTGATGTCTTAACAGCTTCAATACCAAGTAAAATAATAATATTATATTATTTTAAATCGCTAAGTTATTTCTAAAATCATGAATTTGTATTTAGCACCAGATGTGTCAACCATGAATGCTATGGTTAAACGTGACCAGAAACTGAGATCTGCCCCTGGTTGTCAACGCGCAATATCACTGCCTTTATCTAGTCGACAAGAAATCAATCATCAAATTAGATTAAGAGTTGTTCGGGAGTTCAATTTACCAGACCCTGTTGCTTATCTTTTAGAGGTATTATCAATATTTCATCAAATTTTCGAATTCAACATTTTTTAATACAATATGTTTAATAATTAGAAAGCTGCTAGTTCTGTATGCTACTGTGGTGGAGGTCCTGATGATAAACCAAAAGAAAGTACAAGATCTCGAAGCAGTCGCACAAGAAAAGAAAAACGAAAAGGTTTAGGAACTAGCACCTTACCATCCATGTACGCACAACAGAAATTGAGAAAACAACATAGACCATATGTTGTAAATGATATGGCGTCATCTTTACGATACACTAATAATATCAGAGTAAGTAATTATGACTTTTGTTTTCTTTATTTCTACTTATTTTTGGAAATTAAAATTTATTAGTATGAAGATGATGATTTTGATGGCCGAGGAGAGCAAGTAATCATGCCTGACGTTGCAGCTGTATCACTCTCTTTAGACCAATTAAACATATGTCCAATTCTTGGCCCCGAAGTTGAGTTGAGATTAGACTTGGGCGATAGTTCGCCCAATCAGTCGCCATATAAAACACCTCCTCCTCCTAAACATTTCATTTAGATTATACTAAATCTAATTTTATCTGTAAGATTTCTTGTTATAGTTAGTAGAATTAATTTTAGCTTGACTGCAAGCTAATAAATAGGGGAGGGGGAGCTAACAATTTCAAACCAATTGTATTATAGTATTAAGTTTTACAGAGGAATTGAGATATTTTCTGTTAACATTATCTTTGGTCATAAATAGTATGAGCTATTTTATAATCAATGCCATTTCCTTCATTCGGAGTGCAATACTAATTGTGTAACAGTTGTCCAGTTGTTTAACATGGATAACTGTTAGTCAATAATTTGATAATATCTCATTAAGTTTCATATGTATACATTTCATTAGCTGCTGATTCTCAAATTTTATCAAGCTCAAATATAATATCATAATAATTTTCTTCTCAAACGTGAGCAGCTTAGATTTCAATTGAGTATTATTGCTACTATTATTATTATTACCATTTTTCATTATCATTGTTTATAATTAATAACGTATCAATTATGTTATGTTTAAAAATCAGTTGACTGAAAAAATTAAGTTTCTAACTATTTCTTTGAATATTTTCATTTCTTCTCATTCGTTTTAATTATTTTTACTATAAACTTTTATTGTGTTCATATGTTGCATAAACGTGTTTCTTCTGCTTATCTACTGAATTGTACTTCTATGTTTCTCTTCAGTTAAATGCATAGATTTATTATATTTTATTTTGTACCCGTCGCTAGTGGTACAAAGTCTTCTTTACTGTCGTTAACTAATGTCTATTGTTTTTTTTTTATGTTTATGTTATATAGTTTTTTTAAAAGCTTTTGCGAATCGAATAATTTTTTATCCATTTTTAGCATTCTTCATCTCTTTCAATAATCACACATGTTTTAGTGTATTGTAAATATATTACTATATGTATTAAGAGTGCGACGCTCGTTCCGTCCGCGATTATTCTTGCCAGCTGCCTAGTACACAAATCATTTTAAAATTAATTTTATTCTCTTTAGTTTTTGCACGCAGAGAAAGAGTATTTCATTTAAAGTCCTCGAGAATGATGCAATAACACCAGCACTGATATATATATATATATTTAAATTTATAATTGAATAGCTAAATTATTTAATAACAATTATTTTTATCCATTTTTTTCTTTTTCTATATTGTACCTGATTGAAATCCTGAAATTTATATATTTTTGTACATACACAGTTTTAGATTAACATCCCAGTAAGTGACAATAACATGGCGGCATATATATATGCATCAGTTTTTAATCGATGTATTTTTTTTTGAAATTGTAAACAAGGTGGTAGTAATTTGGAAAATTATTCCTACAATTAAAGTCACAACTGTGTGTAAGGGAATCCGAATTAAAAAAAAAAAAAAAAAAATGTCGATTAAAAACCAAACTTATGTTTTGTGACCTGGGCATTCATCCAATACAATAACTGTATCTATATTATATATATTTCTTGTTAATTTCTATGTCTACGAATAGTGATTTTAAATTTTATTAACCAAGGGTTCATCCCTAACAAATTCTTTGTTCAAAAAATTCAAATACATACATGTAAATGTGAATCCATTTTATTTCTTCGATTGTCATAGAAAATAATGTAATACACTTGCGCTCAAAACAAATTGACCGTTACATGTAAAGTAATAAATATAATAAAATTAAAAATTGATTTTATCTAAATTATGTTTTAATGCTTAGGGACCAAACAACCCGTCTTGTCATTAAAAATCGAAAAATAATAAAAGTACATTACAATTAAACAAAATTAAGTTAAGAATATTAATTTAGCTATATAATATTATATACCTATTAATTTCTGTGTATACCTTAGATATTATTTGATTTTCCTTGCCCGTCTGTGATTCTAGTCTTGTCGTTTTCTATGAAAACCGGCCTCACAATATATTATTATTAGCTTACAATATCTATTGTTAATTTATTCCTTACACGGGTGTTACCATAGTTGTACAACTATGGTCTGTTATATTATATAAAAATGTATGTATTTAACATTACGGTAGCATTTAATTTTTATCATTAATTATATTATGGTGTATAATGGAAGAAAACTTTATATTGTTAATAGAACCATCTTGTTTTTTTTTTTATTATTGTACTTAATTTAACTTATTTTAATATGGTATACATTTTCATTTAATAATAGTTCTAAAATATACGGATGACGATAAACAAATCTTTAGGACTAGGTTAATTTAAAATTGTATATTATATTATACCAATTGAAACAATATCATTATCGTGTACTGTACAAACCTGTTCTGTCGATATTTGATGTTAGTTACAATACATTTGTTTTTGTGATTAAAATACGTATACAAAAAATTTGGCTTAAAATGTTGTTTCTTTTTCACATTTTGGCATTCAGTACTAATGAATGATCACACAATTCACCCTAAACCGGTATGATAACTTTATGGTACATCAACCCCAATTATTGTGAGCTGTAACACACAAAAAATAAGGTAAAATACATATTATATTATTCCTCTTTCTATGTATTGCTCATCGTACTCCATTACCTTTATGTGATGTAAAGTTATTGATTTTGAAAAATATATTTCTTATGTTAATATGAATTTCCTTGGGAAAAAATCAATAAAATCCATACTTCATTTGTAGTATATAATATATTATAAAAATATTTCAAAACATTTCTGCAGGTACAACTTAGTTATAATTAAATAATAATAATTATATAATGCCAAAAAGCTATAGTACAAAAATTTAAAAAAAAATAAACAAAACAATTGATTTTATAGTGAATTAAAAAAAACATTCAAAATATATTTCAAATGCAAAACATACTAACATTAATGTAGAACAGAGACTATCATTGAGATGGCATTTTGTATGGAATTGATTTCTAAGTCCTTACACTGTCAAATTAAGATATAAAAAAAATCTGTTTACAAATAGTAAGTTATATAAAACTTTAATGTCTTAAAGTAATGTTATGTACAATCTATATTTAGTATTTATATGAATATATAATAATAATAAAGAAGCAATTTAAAATTGATATCACATACGTTAGCCAATTCTCCTTAAATTTAATATACTTTTCTTTGTAATTTGTTACGATATACAATTTATTTCATCAGTTCATTTCCTTGATGTTGGAGTATACCCTCCTTGAATTCCGTAGCATTTTGCTTGTACATCATCTGGACCGCCTCTATGAGCCTTTACTTCATTATTATATGCCTGGATACGGTTTTTCACCGGAGATCCGCCAATTGGCGAATCCTGTTTTAACGTTTCAACATCATTGAACACAATCTGGGCACCTCCACCCATCGTTTGTATAATATCGGCCTAACAAATTACAAAACAATTAATATTAGTGTTATTGGAAATAGTAATTACTAATTATTAAAAAAGGTATAAAATACTTTATATAGTTTAGCTTCTGGAATGCCTTGTTCATCCGATCCTTGTGTCAATAAACAATATTTTGATGCACCATTGTTCGATACTGTTTTGGCATCTGTCAACTTGGTAACGGATTTACGCTTCTTCATCTTGGGTTGCATGATAGTTTGCAAGGGAATAGGAACTGGAGGTTTGTGTTCGATCCAACGTTCATGTGGGTCACACGATTTAGATCGTCTTGAACGTAAGTATCTTAATGTTGCTTGTGATGGCTAAATGTTAAACAATTATTATTTCCATGTGAGCAACTGTGAACAATTTATTTAAAATAGTTACCTCGTTTTGTTTTGAATCTGAGGGTACATCATTGTTCACAACTGGCTCTATTTTGACTAAGCTTTCATCAGATAGGGTTCTTTTCACAATACGCCTGGAAAAATGGCCAGGAATATTTTCTGTGCTTTCCACTATATTTTTGATGTGTCTTAATTTGCGTTTCTTATCTTGTAATTTAGCCTGAGAATCAAAAAATATAAATAAAAATAAACGAATACTTTCAAAAATAATTTTAGAAGTGAAATCTTATTGTAGTTAGGGGAATAGGAACCAAACCGTTTTTACTACAAAAACTCTTACACTTCATGAAACATGCAGTCATTTTTTGATTAAATTTATTAAGACTTTGGACAGGTGGAATAGCAAATCAAATTTTAAAAAACAATTGTAGTAGCTGTAATATATGTTTAAATAATCAAAAACTGACGAGTATTTTTCTGGTATTATAAACTTTAAGTTCCAAAATCAGAATTCTATGCAACCTAAATAAATATTTCCTATTAATTTTTATTTTTTTTTCTGACAGGTAATGTTTGATTGCTCAAAATTCAAATGGTATGGTTTTATTTTTCCGTAGTGCCTACTACCTTTTGTATAGCTGCTGTACAACAGACCTAGAAATTTTCACAATTTTTATCCCTTAATTAACCGGCTTTGACACAAATAATTATTAATTAGCGTATACAATTTGTGTACAAGGATGTTTTTTGAATAATAACCTTAGAAACTGGAAGATGATTTGAGATTTACATTTTTGTTAAAACTCATTCTTTAAACTGTAGGTATTCAACTGCTTTTTATTTATTTTTAAATAAGAATAAAAAATACTATACAAACCTCAAACTCATTTTCTTGAACCTTCCATTTATCTTTGAACTCTCTGGACAACTGTTCTTGTTTTTTAACAATTTTAGTATTATACTTTTGTTTTAACAGATCTTTATCCACTGAAACTTGATTTAGCATGTTGTCTTTTGCATTTAACTAGAAATGTAAAAGTTAAAAAAATTAACAGATATAGTTTATGAACTAACATGATTTTGACTGTATACAACAAATATCTCTTTAATCTTGGATATAGTCTATAAATGGCATTTTTTTTAAGCTAAGAGGTCTGAGATGAGAATAAACAAGGCAAGACCTGATCTAATTTAAGACCCAGTACAGTTTAGGTTAGGTAAATTTATAGTTCTATTCCAGTATTTTTTTTTGAACTTACATCTGATTTTAATCTTTTGTTCTCACCATCCAAAAATTCTAATTTTCTTTTTAGCGACGCCATTTCATTTTCTAGTAAAAATGATTTGTTTTGATATTGCTTAACCTACATAAAATATTATACATATTATTAGTAATAATCGCCAATGTTAAAATAAGTTTGGTTATTAATACTTTATTGGTATCTTGGTCCCTCAGAATTTGCAGTGAATTTATTTCTTGTTTTGCACCTGCATAATTGCTTTCTAAGAATACTATCTGTGATCGAATGTCATTACCTGTAAACAAAAGGAAATAATTAATTATAATTTTTTTTTGTCATTATAAATATTTATATTTTTTTAAATAAAAGTAATAGATATATTTTAAATAAGTTTATCATACTCTGAGTAATCAATATTTCACGAAGTTCATCCTTTTTTTTTATTCTCTGATCAAGAGCAGTAACTAATTCTTGTCTCTTCTCACCATCTAGTAAATCATCTACTTCCCAATCTGGCAACGGAGGTCCCAAATTAAAATAACTGCAAAAAAATCAGTTATATTTTTTATATACACACAATTAGTTGAAATTACCTTCCAAAACAGTTTTCTCTTAATTCATAATTAATTTTATTGTCTTGTGGAAATCTAGCATCTTCCTCAATTGCGCACGGGATGCGGTTTATAGATTGAATCTAAAATTGTGCTTATATTAGAAACAGATATCATAGAATTAATGTTATGTATTATCACATACATCAATGACTTTTCTTCTTCCTGGAGTCAAGCCTATATCCATACGTAATGGTGTTGTTCGTTTGACTTGAACACTTCCAGACATTTCACCAAATTGTAGAACAGGCTGTATGTTGATAACAAAATTATTTAAATATATATTAAATAAAATTAATTTCATTTTTATTTACCAAAAGCTCTGTATATTCAGACAAAGGATTAACACAAATTAACATTCTGATTGAACCAGAACCTTCAAAAAAACTTTTAAACAGATGTGTAAGACGTGATGTTCTGTAAGGAATTTTCTCAGCAATATTCCTTAAATTGCTAGAAGACTGATTTTCGTATAATATTTTAAGACATTGTTTCAAATTTGATAGTGACTTATTTATTTCTCCTGTAAAAAGGTTAAATAAAAATTATGTATAAAATAAAATGATAAAAAATTCTCACCAGCTTCATGAAGTCTTTGTCCAGTTGTCTTTGCTTTCCCAGCTCGTTCACTTCCAGCTAAATCTACTAGTGACAGTTGACTCACAACTGTATACTTCTTATCTTGAATTATACTTATACCATCAGTATCCAAAGGTGCCTATTATAATAAATTCATATTATAAATTATAATATTGATATACGAGTAAAATAATAATATTTTTGAAAATGCAATTTTCAAAATTTCGTGTGGTATTTATATTTTTATATACTTCAAAGGTACGACAACTTCATATTTTGAATTTACATTTAACAAATGTTCTTTAAAAGTACTCACTTGTACAACTCGTATAGTAAAAACTGTATGACTGCGACTGGAGTCCATGTTCAAAAAGGTTGGTGCAGTACGCTTTCTCAATTGACCTTTTCTTAACCATTCAAAAGCGTCAACTGCATTAATTACTTCTTGTTCATTTACTCCATGAACATACATATTTCCGTTGGCATCTTCCCTTATTATTTTACTGTTTCTATTAAATAACCATATAAATTAAAATTAATTATAGATATAAAACGTATTATTTATTTACCGTCTTATTTCTCCATCAGATACATCTTCTAAAAGATCATAAACATAATTATGATATATTTCTACGTAGCTTATAAAGACTGAATATGCTACATCTTGTTCTATATCTGTAACTTTATAGTTAAATGGTACACGATCTGAATCTCCGTCTTTTCTAGAATTAATATTAAAATTTTTATTTTTCTAGGATATGAAACAAATTTAATCATCCTTACTTTTTTGATGTTTTTGTAGGGTTTTTAACATTGTTTTTGAATTCCTCAGATTTAAAAAACAAAATGTCTTCCATACTATGTACATCAAATCCATTAAGTTTATCAGGTTTAAAAGTATACCTTCCTGCTTGATAATTTTGAATAGAATTGAATATGACATCGAAGCATCTTCCAACAATACCACCGTCATCCTGGTTGCCAGTCATTGTGTACGATTTGCCACTACCTGATATTCCATATGCAAATATTAAACTACTCTTTCCTGCCAAAAGTTGTTCAATGAGTGGCAATCCCATATTTTGAAAGACCACATCTTGGGACTCATATTCAGTGAATATTTTCTTGTAACTGAATTGTCCTTCTCTAGATATTCCTCTATCATCTGGTGAGCAATATATTTGTATTTCAGTATCAGACAGAACTTTGATACATGACGATTCGAAATTGGACTGTACAGGACGAATTCGACAATAAACTTGAATAGGATCTTTCGCATCATCTTCTACTCTATACTTTTTTTGAATTTTAGCTGGTTGGTTCCCAACTCTCTTCATTCTATTTTAATACATATCAACAAATATAGTATGTATATACTTTTATAATTATACTAATTTACTATTGTATAGGTACTTTAATAAGTAAATATCAGAGATAATGAAACTGTACATTAAGACATTTTTAAAGAGTATTGATAAACAATAGGTTTAGGATTATTATGCATACGTATTGTATAATATTCAAAGATGTTTATGCATACAAAATTTGAAAAATAACGGTTGCTATATTTTATACTTAAACTAGAATTAACTATATTTGTATAATTTTTATGGGAAAAATACACCATGGCCAATTACCAATCTTATCCACAATTGTGGTTTTAACATACTATTTTTTTTGTAGCTGGAATATTACACACAACGGGTCAGAACTTTACGGAATGCCTTTAGGAGATAAAACTAAATCATGTCACAAAATTAATAAATAATTGCATATAGTAATCAGAAAATAATACATTATTCCAGCCGTTTGTTAAATTATATCAGTCACAAAGTAGCTTAATTATAGTAGTTACAATTATATAATTATTTAATGTTAATAAAATATGAATCTTTTGTGAAACTAGGTAGCTGGACGTAATTAACTTGGTATTAATTTTTGATCAAATGAGCAAAGAGAATATCGAGTAACTACAGAATCAATGGAAAGCAAAAAGTCGATATATTTAATCAGAATTATTTGACGTGTAGCAGAATAAGCGTTTGTATAAACATCCAGGCCTGAACAATCAATAATACTTTAATTAAAAAACACTCTTATTATCGAGATATAGCAGTATAGGATGGCTATGCTAGTTATTATGAGTTTTTTTTTTTTTTAATAAGTATAATATTATACGAATCGTTTCTAGGTGTAGCTCTACTGTACTAAACGGATATTTTAATATCATAATTCAACTCGTACAAAATGTTCGAAACAAATCAAGTAAATTGTGTGTGTACTTACTTTAGTGTTGTTCATAAACGTTCAATTAACTGAGACACTTTGATACTCATAAATATTAAATTGGTGAAATTATCAAAAAAGACAACGGACTATCGAGTAAACGACCGTTAAAATCGAACGTTCGTATTATCCATCATTTGGACGGGCCTTCAGCCTTCAGCGGTTGGCATTGTTCGCATTCCGCGCTGGTAATCAGTGGTGGCAACGAGTGGGAAACGAAAATAACGGAAACGCCGAAATGCGTCCGGTACGCCTCCGATGTGGTCAGCCCGGTTAGTGGTGTTGATACACAACGCGGTAATCGGGTTGTTCTTTTGTACGATGATATTGTGATAAGAACATTGTTTGTTGATTAAAAATAAAATGCGATATTTTTTCGGTAATTTTATTTATTTACAACTCAAAACCGAGTCGATTTCACCGTTCCTCGTCGTCTTATCCGGATTTTCGAACAACGTATAGCGGCCCACGGGACGGCTCCCTAGTGGACAAACGGTGTCGTTCGACCGCAGAGGCCTCGTCGGTGACAATACTGACGGTAAGTGTTTGATATGCGTTCTTTCGTTTGTGGCGTAGGTACTCGCTCGTTTCAATGCCAATGACAATTGGAACACACAGACATTGTGGTGCCGTGCAACGGTATTGCTCAATCGTTTTCGCTGTCGTCACGGTTTTTCGCTGGGAGGAAACAGAACTTTGACCTATATACAATTGTGTTATTGTCCACAAACCCCTGTGCACCGAAGACGATCTTGACCATTCGTACCCGATAGCAGAGCAGGATCATATTATTGCTATTATAGAAAGACTATAATTTACTTTTATCATCCTCGTTCGTGTTTATGTATGTTTTGATACGCTGTTCATTTTCATACATACCTACTGCGTTTACAAAATTATAAAATTCTATTAAATCTGCGCATCAATACTGTTGATTTTTATGCATACCTTGTGCATCGGTGCAGACTGTAGGATATAACCGAATCGTATTACATTGTCCTATAATGAAGATACAAGGTGACCGATAATTAATAATATGATCGATATTATTTTTTATGATCACCGGATAAAGTTATTTTTAGATTTTCTTGATTTTAACCGTAACATAATACAGTAATATGTTTTTGTTTCAACATTTTCTAACATAACTAAATGATTAAATAACTGCGTATTTATTATTTATCCTTAGTTTTAAAATATGTTATTTTTGTATGATGAAATATTTTATTTTCCCTCCATAAAATAATCATGAAGTATTGAGTATCAATCTTTTACAAAATGCTATTTACTGATTCATATTTTTATATTAATTAGGATTTTTTTATTTATTTAGATATTGCTCCAAAAGAGTATATTGAATACATAGACTCAAGATGAGTGACGATGACCGTGATGTTGAGTTGGAGACTGCAGAAAAGCGTGCACACCATAATGCCTTGGAACGCAAAAGACGTGACCATATCAAAGACAGCTTCACAAGTCTTCGAGATTCAGTTCCATCATTACAAGGTGAAAAAGTTGCTAGCCGCGCACAGATATTAAAAAAAGCAGCTGATTATATACAATTTATGAGGCGTAAAAATGTTTCCCACCAACAAGACATTGATGATCTCAAGAGGCAGAATAATATTTTGGAATCTCAGATTAGAACGTTAGAGAGAGCTAAGGCTACTGGCAATTATGCCATGGAGTCTAGTGAATTAGCTTTAGATGTATCGGGATCAGAAAATTCTGATGTATCGGATGGAGAACTCCAAAAATCTAAAAGAAGACTAAAAAAGCAAAAGTTTGGTTATTAGATTTAAATTTCTACTAATATCTAATTTTGTACGTATTTATTATGTATCAGGTAGGTTAATATTTAAATAGTATCATATTATTTGGTACAAATTTTAAAATTAACATTTTAAGAAAAATCATGATTTTGTTTGTTATATATTTTTTTATATGAAACATCGTCTTGAAAATATTTACAGATTTTTGTGAACAAAATAAAAATAATTATTTATAAATTGACTTGATTGCCACAGTTGATATTGTGGGTTTTCTTAAATTAATTTCAAAGAAAATTGCTTAATAAGGTGTATATAAATTACCAACATGCACTGTATCTGATGTAATTTCTTAATTTGATAATATACTCACCATAAATTCATAAAATTGTAAGTGTTAGATAAAATAATATTGGATTTGCAATAAACATAAAATAAACGGTTTAAATTTTCATTCATTAATCAAAATTTCATAGTTTTCTATTTAATTACACTTAGGTTTTCAGATTAAATAATATGAACTTATTTCATATACAAATATATAATTGTTATTATTTGCATTGCATAGTAGGTCAATTAAATACTTTAAATTTATTATTTTACAATGCTTGAAATTGGTATAGTTTTTGTTTTTTATAAATTAAAATGCCCTTATGTGTTGATAACTAGCTAGTTTCGTTATTATTTTTATATACTAAAAGTTGCTGTTCAAAAATATTATTTTGCGTACATATAATGACAAAATACTTGAAGTGTAGATTAAACATTTATTTGTCCATTGTTATTTTTAATTATATTTAAATTTTAAGCTTTTATATTATGTATTATTAATAATATAATATGTTAGGTATTATTTTTGTTCTAAAATTGTATCACATTTATGATTACATATATATTAACCCTGTACAAACCGTAAACTTAAAATTTAATTTTTAAGTAGTTGGTTCAAACTCTAATGTTTTGATGAGCATATACTATTTGACAATTGTTAAAACATATAAAATAAACATTGCAATATATTTAAATTAGCCTAGTTTAGTTTCATGAAATCATATTATATCATACATGTCATATAGTCATACCTTAATATTTAAAATAATTGTAATCACTTGCTAAAATCAGTAAAATATGGATGATACGTTTTATACATTTCTTGTTTCCTAATTACATTTTTGATTAAATTCAGATCATCCAATTAACATTATATTTGTATAATATTGTTTATTGTTTATTTTTTGAGAATTTAAGCAGTTACCACCTCCCCAATACACAGTGTTGTTAACAGACCTATAAATTAAATTTATAGCCCATAAGTCTGTTGTAAAGTGTTAAAGTAATAAAGTGTTCAAATACTTTTTTAATATTGAATACGGTTTAAAATACTTTGAGCATCAAGACTTTTTAATGGTACCTATTTTAATAAATACTTGATTTTTGTACTGAGATTTGTATCTGTTTTGGATTTTCTTTTTAACAATTTTTTTAAATTTAAATGAGTATGTAGTGTGTTTCAAATGTTTCCATGTTATTTGTTGTACCTAATAATAAATTTTAAATACTAATGCCGGGTTGCATGAAAAATTTATTAATTTTATGATTCAATAAAATTTAATTACGAGCGACCAAATCATTTTTAAGGGACCATTAGGTCACTATTGATTCGCTAAATGTTAAGTGATTGTTTATGCAACTCGGCTTAAGTGTACCAAATTGTGAAAACTCGAATATTCAAAGAAGGCAAGCGCAATGTGAGCATTACATTAACTAGGGACATTGACTATATCAATTTTTGTTTTCATACACGACACAACTGATGAGTTATGATTACAATAATGAACAACAAGGACGACGTGTGAAATTTTAAAATTGATAAATAAAATATATGACAGATAATTATACTTAACAATACAACCATTCAATAATTATTAAATGTCTACTGATTCCAACTCATTTAGTTAATACTTATGTAATTACAGTGGGTGTTACAAACGAAACCGTGAAAAAATAACCTCCCCAAAATTAATTCCCGAAAAAATAACCCCTTATGATATTTTGCATGATTTTGTAAACTAATCTAAATATAAATTGGTATTTTGTTATTGCGTACCTATAGTACAATTTATAACATACCTATAACAATACAGTGGCGTGTTGAACTCATTTTTGGTGAGGAGCAAAAATGTATACAAGGGACCCCCACCCACCTTGATGTTTATAACATCATTTTCCAACTCGGCATAAAAAATTTACAAAATATGAGTACATTTGTAACGATTTGTATAATCGGATATGATATTTCTACGATATAGGTACTTAGTCACCTAGTGGGCTAGGTATTTTGAGGCAGGGGGACTACCCACCAGCCAACAATTTTGAAGGAGCTCCAAAATAGTATCTTCGCCACTGATGCACAATAATATTATTGTCATGACAAATTAAATTAAATTTGTCACGTGTCATTGTTATGTCCCCACAAATAATATTGTTAAAAACTTCCCTGGATAAAAAAACATTTAATTCAAATTGATCTTCCATGGCATCTTTCATTCGTCCATGGAAATATTAAGATGCCATTTAAAACGCAAACGAAAGTGTCAAAAACTATGCCTGCACAGTTATTTTCAGAAGCTGTAACGGGTCTTTCAGAAAGTATTCTTGAAGAACTTTCCAAATCTTCAATCAAAGAACTCAGAGTTTTCCAAAAGTACCCGTCAATCTAAAAGATTTGAAAATAGGAGGTATGTACCTATTCACTTTTAATGAAATTAAAAATAAAGAAAAACATACATTTTTACGCAAAATCAATTTTTGACGAAATCGATTTTGTTTTTTTTTTTTTGTAGTAGGTAACACAAAAGAGAATAACCGTAGATACTTTAAATTTTCACAAAACGATTATATTACTATTTTCCATATGAGATAAAATTTTCATAACACAAATTACAATATAGTTACATGTGTACAATGTTCTATAACTATTGTACTATTTACATATAATATAACTATCTTGTTGTATGCAGCGCTCTTCTGGAGCATTAATATTTTATCTGTTTCAATAAAATACCCTCACATAATACACGTAATAGTTAACTATATTTATGAATCAACTGGTGGCGCCTCGGGACTTTTAACTTGATTAATTAATTATTGACACACTAAATCGTGTGGTTGAGCGCGTACGACAATAGTGTCCCGTAATAAAATATAATCAACATAATATAATATACAGGCTGTTGCACGATAAATGTGTCAAACTTCTAGAGGTGTTCCTACACCTCAAATGGAACAAAAAAAATCCTTATGACCCCTACCTTAAAAAGTAATAGTTGTTAGGTAGGTATAACTGAAATTTTTTGAAATTTCGACATTTTAAAGTTATAAACAATTTGTGTTATTCTTTTCGCCCCCCAAAAAATCAGGTGGGAACATTGTAAGATATGTTTTCCTAATCCCAATTTTATGAACTTTTCATCCATGTATTCAAATTAATTGTAGTACCTACGGTTTAGCAGGTATGAACATTATTATGAATTAAACTTGCGTTTAACCAAAAAAACACAAACATGGAAACTGTCACCATTATTATTGATAATTCGATTATGGTCATAAGGACTTTTTTTGTTCCATTTGAGGAGTAAAAACATCTCTAGACGTTTGACACATTTATTATGCAACACTCTGTATGTTCATAATACTGTATTGTATAGGTTGAATGGAGTTAGAATTTTTTTTAAACATTTTTTTTGTCATTTCTAAATACAAACCTATTTATTATGCATTTTTAGATTCTGAGCGGAGCGAGGAGCTAGTGGTTTTACAATAATGTGTTTTTTTTTTTAATTTTTAATTTTTAACAAAATTTCTACCAGAAGGAGTGCTTCGATTCCAACATATACTATTAGCTAGGTACCTTATATTTTATCTTCTATCACCATAACAACGAATAAAAAATAATAATATTATAATATTAATTCAACTTACAGAATAAAATAAATAATAACAATATAAAAAATCTAGACTGACAAACCGTCTCCGCTCAGAATCGTTTTTCTTATACATTGATAATTATTATTATTATTTTATATCATTGAATTCAAGTTTAATACAATCCGTTATACATTGACCCACTTGTAACCTACTGTACAGTAGAGCGACATCCACTAACCCGCTTTTTTTTAAAATTTACTATTGATATTTAAAAAACAAATTTACGGTGACTGAAAAAAATTACTATTTGTTTTAGATTCTGAGTGGAACGATGAATGTATTGATTTTACAATGATGTGCATGTGTTATTTATTTATTTTTATTTTTGTGTCTGTGTACACGATAAGTAGTCGAAATAATGCTTCGATTTTCAACTTCAGTATCTTGTTCGATTGAAAAGTGAATCTAGTTGGTGCATTCGGGAGGTTAAAATTTAAAATTCCCAATAGTTTTCATAAGCGCCGGGATTAAACACATAAAAAATAAGGAATAACGGGAATTTTTACGCAAAATCTATTTTCCAAAAAAATTGATTTTGGTTTTTGGTGTAACTCAAAAACAAATGAACGTATATACATGAAATTTTCACTGGTTGTTTATATTTGCATTTTCTATACACGATAAATTTTTTAAAATATTATGATTTGTTTTGAACTGTTTAGGGACATTTTCATTTTCCATTTTTTTTTAGTTTTTATTCGAAAAATATCAATACAATTTTATTTGTTGGTTTCGAAAGCTTGAAAATTTAATAGAAGGCTCCTAGTATATTGTTTCAAAGGCAGATGAAAAAAATTAAAAATCCTTAGTCACAATTTTTTTTTATAAGCATTTAAAGTTCAAAAATTTACAAAATATGGAAAAATCACGAAAATTAGCAAATTATTTTAAGTTAAGAATTCGTAAAAATTTTTCTTTTTAATCTAAGATTTGAAAATGAAACACAAGATTCCTTATAAGATTATCTACCTTTATCAATAAAAAAATCTCTACCGGACAGTCAAGTTAAATTTTTATGAGCGTTTGAAATTAAAATTTTT